TGTAATCAAATGTAACTCATTTTACGAATTTAGAAATTCGCTGATTTCAATAGATCAAAAATTGCCAAAACCGAAATGTGATCGGTCACTCTCACTAATATATAGTCAAACATCAACTTGTTAGGGGCTGCAATGAATATGAGATTCTTTTCAGTGAAATGAATTGGAAATTTAATATAGTGCACATCCTTATATAATCATAACAGTATGTGCACATCTGAATGAAGCCCCTAAGATTGGTTCATAAAGGCTTTATTCAACTTCCATCGTTTTTCGATTTGTTATACTAACTCTGGCAGCAGTTACCGACCTAATCAGATTCATTTGCATTGATTAAGACATTAGAAGGCATCGCAATAGCAGACACTCACCTCCAATTAGGGTTTGCAAAATCCCGACGATTTTTCAATCCTGGGATCGACTCTTGATCCCGTGATCGAATAATTATTGAAATATCGATGCGGGACATGTTTAAACACATTTTTTCGAACCAATATGTTCATTATTAATCAGAAAGGAGCTAATTCAACAAATTATTGAACAAATCCAAGGAACTAAGTATTCAAATTCAAATTGATATCTCATATAATGATGCCGATGATCATGCCACAAGGGTATACTGCATATTCTAGGCTAAGGCACCTTGTCATCTCGGGTCTAAGCAAATAACAGTACACTTGCATGCGGATATGAAATTCTTGATTCTCAAACACTTATTTGCAATGCTTCAGGTCCATTTTCTCTCAGTATTAACATCAGCTAAATTCTGCCGTTTCAGAAATTTCAATTTTTTAAAGAAGAAATGCACCGCATGAATTATATCTTTTGAATTTTGGAATAATTAAAAGTTTATATATAAAGGTTAAAAAATATCCGCAATGGATTTTCACCGAACCATCGAGCACTTACATATTTGATAGCTGCAATTAAAATCATGCAAATGTACTTGATATTCAAGTTTAAGATCCTTTTGAATGGGACAATGTCCCTCACTTCGACAGTGAATTCTCACTATGAGTGAACTTAGTGAGAATTAACATACATTTCGATCGGATGAAAGTTTTCCAAATAGCGAGTTAAAAAGACTTGCAGTCTTTGGAAAATGCAGTTGAATTAACAGAGGGAATATTGAAGCCGAACAAATCTTGTGAGATGGAAGAACTCAAAATTTCATTGAACTTTGTTGCTCTTGGTTTTTATTAGAAAATGTGATTATCTCTGTTAGTCTACTTAGAAATGCATCCAGATGAACGTGATATAAACCAGTGGAGAGCAGAATAATCGCTTGAATATTCAATGAAATGTTACGTAAAAGTTCATCGAGCTGTCGTTGATCATGTCATTCGTCCGAATTGCGTCTATTTCCTTAGCTGAACATCAATGATAGAGGGCAAACAGCAAAGATAACTGCATATAATAGCTGAACATCAATGATAAAAGGCAAACAGCAAAGATAATTGCATTTAAACTAGACGGGAATGATTAAGGCTTGCTTCAAGATGGGCATACTATCAAAATTCACACAAATTGATCTGTTTTATCAAATCCCGAAATCCCGAGATTTTTCAAAACTTAAATCCCGGGATCGGGATCAGGACTGTGATCCCGGGATCCCGTTCAAACCCTACCTCCATTTCGTCGGTGTCGCAAATGAGACAATTCTATTGAGCGTTGATAGTGCAGGCATAAATAATGAGGTATTCGTGAAAAGATGCAAAACGTAAACTGGTTCTAATAGATTTCCATGTTTGTTTTCATGAGGTCTGCGGAAAATTTTTTTACACTCAACTCATTTTTTGTCACTGCAAGGGTCTCGAAAATTCCCCTTCCCACCCACGGGTGATTTTGTTGTATATAGTGATAATTCATTCAAAGAACCTCCAAGAGAGAATCCCCCTCATAATGATTCCTCAGCACTTGCGAAGTGGACGATTCATTCACGAGAGTTTCCCATTGTGGAGAGGGGCAGCCTTCTTAATTCAAAATCAGTCTACAGTTGTATCATTCAGCGCAAAAAAGAAGGCGAACTTCACCGAAACGAAACAAGTGCTTGTTGCAGTGGCTGAGGATCGTGCTCGGACGGCAAAAAGTGACGTGCAAGTGAGTAGCGCTTATTGCTAATTGAAACATTACAAAAAGTGTTTAATCGATAATGGAGCATTTCAGGATGAACTGGATATAATAACTGATAAACTGTCCAAATTAGAAGCACCGTTATTAAAAGGTGCAGCCAAGCCATCAGCGGATACAGGTGTGTACAGTCGCTTAACTGACCATACCAAATACACCGGTGCACATAAAGAACGTTTCGATGCGGAAGGTAAAGGCAAAGGCAAGGCTGGAAGGGAGGATGTGAAAAGTGAAACAGGCTATGTAGCTGCGTATAAAAATAAAGATACTTATGATAAAGCACATGCTAAGCAATAAATGCAGTGCCCACATTGATCTCATCTTCTAAATTCCGGATTAACTAACTGATTGATTAATTGATTTTTGGTTTTTTACTATATCTGCCATTTCATTTATTCACTTTACTTATTGAACATCACATAACTCGATACTCATAAACTCAAACCAAATTGTGTGTTTATTCAATTCTTTGATCCATCCGCATTGATCGTACTGAAAATGCGAGAACAGCATTCCATGAAATCATAAATAGACATTATTCAACCCGATTAACTATCATTTGTTTGCAACTATCCCGTAGAATAAAACACTATTTCAAGTTGTAACACAGATTGTTTGGATGATACCGATTTAATATTTGTAATATGTGCTGCTGTAAATCGCCTATAGTGATGAACATTCAATTCATGTTGTGATACAGATATTTTCTTTCTCTTATTCAACTAAATGTTTCTTCGCGAATTGAACTAAAGAGAGAATAAATGTTTTGTTTTTTTTTTTTTTTCAAATCAAACGAATGTAGTGCTTATTGTAGCAGTAATGGTGCAATACATTTTATTGATCATAATCCTTACGAAACTACCATTTTGTTGTTGAAACAGCATGAATAATGCATGAATGTTCGCATTCAGCGAAGCATTCAAGAAAACGAAGGGAATTGTGATCCAGTATTCGAGATCGATCAACAAAATCAGTCAATTAAGCACTGCTGTCTTTGTTAAGTTCTCTTCGGCAGAACATTATTCATAGTTGCGTTCATTTACCAAAAACCGATTCTCTGTGTTATGACTACTTTTTAATGCATCAGTCACCTACCATCGCTTCCAGCATCCGTTCATTTATTCGCTCATTTCACGCTACTAAGTGCCGCTATTTTAAATATATTGTTTTATTATAAATACTTTTTACTCTTATGAACAGTGTGCGGTGATTATTCTTGGAGATGCTCATTAAATCAGGTTGAATTGAAAGGTGCCAGTGATACATATGTCTGTAATACGGTGCTAACTGTTACTTTTCAGATATGTTTAATTGAACCTAACTCATAATAACGGGCCTTCAGTTAATTCTTTATTCACCGCATGTGATCAGTTTTTAGACTTAATCTTTTTACATGTCATCTAATAAAGGTGCTATTCCAAGAAGATTAAGTATTTCCTCTAAATTAGTTAATCATCGGGGAATATCTCAATTCAACACCGTAGAAAAGTCAGTGGCAGTTTGCATTCATGTCAGAAGTGAGACGATATGATATATCCATATACTGTAAGTAATGCGATTGGTCATTCGCTATGTTCGCAGTTATTCATAAGGCGTGTCTGGCGGTTCGTATATGTGATCGTTTCTAGTGGTTCGTAAATTCAAACTAAAGTGTGGTACTTATTTTCTGAGTTGGTGGCATTTTTCGAGCGTTGTTATTATTACTAAGTGATGCTGTCAGCGATTGATGTGTGGTGCTGGTGATTTATCGTGTAATTCCTATCGATTTCGCTCCAATAATGTGCTTTATGATACTGATTGAAGATTTCAAGGTGCTATTCTAAGTAGAGAAACATTCCAAAAAGCTTCACTGAATGCGCACTATGCCGTTGGCACCTTTCGGCGATCCATGGATACAGAATAGTAATGGTATCAGCAATGATGATAACAACAGCAGACATATCAGTGTGAGTGGTATTTTTTATTGAATTTATATTTTATTACAAATGTTGAAAAGAGACATTAAGAAGATGATTTTTATTCAAGCTGTTTTATCGGTCGGAACATGTGTGTGTGTGTGTGTGAAGTGTAAGTATGAAAAAAAGAATAAAAGCTTATCATCGTTAAAGTACCAGAAGGAACGCCTCTTTATGTGTTGTTGGTAATTTAAAGATCATCGGAAATAAACACTTGAAATGTTCAACCTTGAGCAGTTTAGTACTTGTTTGTTCAGTGAAAAAAAACGAAAAGTAAAAAACCTTGCTTAATCAGTAATATTATTTTTGTGGATCATCTCATTTTGCAATTGTGTTTTTAAACTTATCATGATGAATTTTAGCCACACACATTGATCAGTATCGTTGCTGAACGTTCGCATGAAGCAGAGGTTGACTTGATTTGTGATTATTTCTTCAGTTTTTTTGTCGCTTCTTTCATCCTTCGCATATCTACATAGTTACTCCACTCACTTCCTGAACGTCATTCTTTTTTTTTACTACTGCAGAGAGTTCATGAACGAACCGTATATTCAGAAATTGAATCAAATCATACTCATAAGTTACTGATGCCATTTTTAGAGTTATGATCGAGATGTATAGATTTAGAACTGCAGGAAAAATTTTAGGATTCATTAGGAGTTTCCAATGGATCAATATGAAATGCATGAATCAGTACTAAATAGACATACTTGCTTGTAATCAAATAAGCAACAATAAGCTTGATTCATCCGAAGAAGTAGACCAAATTTTATATGGATGCGTTCTGTCGAATGTAACATACATAACGAGATGAAGGACGCAATGTTTTTCTTCATCACATATATACTTTCATGTGAACTAACGTTCGAAATGCGTCGCGCCATCCACCCCCGCGACGCATATTTTCTTCAGCGATTTAATTGGCCACTGCTGCTACCACATAGAGCACAGCCTAGCTACATTCACACACGCGATATTATACGCTTATTATATGTTCTATTTGATGCTGGTATGGGTGTGGGTGTGGGTGTTTGTATGTGCATGTGTTTATTGAATTATCACTATTCTTATCTTTTCGATGAAGCGTCTTTGTTACTGTTAGAAACGTTCATCTAAAACTTATTCATCGCTCCATTCTCATCATTCTTGTTGTATTTCCTCTTCATATCAAAGTAATCCCTGAATGGTCGCTGTTGTTCAGGAACAGGTCCGTTGTTTTTTTTTTCACTGATGTGCGATGATACGTTCACGTGTCGTGCTCATTCAACTTTAATAATAACGTTTTTCTATTGCCATCTTCTTATCATCGAGATGCACGCTTATCATTAATGAATATAACCTACCTTAATGGCTGTCCTAATCGAGCATTCATTAAAGTGTGTTCAATCGAAATCTATTTGGTCATCATTGCTTCTTTCACAGGTTCTGTCTTTGTATTCTCATCTTATCAGCACTCAGATGACATCCATTCAATCACGATCTCATGTTTCATTCCAGTCGATCGTCATGCCTCATCTCTTCTTGATATCTAATATCTATTCTATGGTCATCTCCTCATCGCAGTCTCTCCAATTGAACTACACTCTTATAAATTACATAATGTGATATGAATAAATTCTAGCGTGATTCGTCAGTATCAGATGGTGATGCATCATCGACGACTGAAATTGAAATTAACGATGTTGCAAAAGAAGGTGAGAAGGCATGTGCATCGCAGTTTGAACTGCTCAAAGTATTAGGACAAGTATGTATCATTAATATCTCTTCACTTTTTGAGAATTCACAGAGTTATTCACTTAACACCGTTTTTGTAGGTGTTATGCGGCTGATATTTCTGGTATTGATTACAGGGTTCGTTTGGGAAGGTGTTTCTTGTTAGGAAGATCCGAGGGCGAGACACGGGTAGTTTATATGCAATGAAGGTATTGAAAAAAGCGACACTGAAAGGTTGGTTTTTGTTTGGTGCAGTGAAGTGAATTGATTATGAAATGAATGCATTTAAGTGCGCGATCGAATGCGAACTAAAATGGAGAGGAACATCCTCGCACAAATCCACCATCCGTTCATTGTTCGACTTCATTACGGTTCGTTATCAGCTTTCTTTCCTCTTTCATTCATCACTTTCATTTCTCTTATTTTCAGCGTTCCAAACGGAAGGTAAACTCTATCTAATCTTGGATTTTTTAAGAGGTGGTGATCTTTTCACTCGTCTGTCTAAAGAGGTAACTTTTGTTCTCATTTTTTTCAAAACTGAATTCTTGTTATTAACCTCATTCTGTTTTTGCAATAACTAACGATAGAGTGCTGAAATAGGTTCTGATGATTTGCATATCAATGCGGAATAGTGCATCAATAATTCATTCATTCTTTTCTGGAGGTGATGTTCACAGAAGAAGATGTTAAATTTTATTTGGCTGAATTAGCGCTTGCTCTAAATCATCTACACTCGCTTGGTATCGTTTATAGAGATTTAAAGCCAGAAAAGTAAGTCTCTTTTATTCCGTTGTTTAATGTAATTGTGACGAACGATTGCTATCTTATCATAATATCAGTCGATCTCCTTACATTTATTGTTGTGCCATGCCACCTTCTTCATGCGCATCTCAAAATTCTGTCCTTTCCGTTGAATTTTTCTCATTTATCTCTATCCTTCGTAATATTGAATGATTAGTTAAGTTTGATTAGGTGGATGTGATTTGTTTCGTTTCTCTTCTTCTCTCCATTCCTCAACAGATTACCGGCTGAAGGTTCGAACGAGATCGACTTTCAGTGTTTAGCGAATGGAGATAGAAACACGAAAAGGAGTTCGGTTATCTGTAACCATTAACCTATCCTTTCGAAAAAGTAAACAGCGGCAAACTCCGAAAAGCATCCAGGTCAGTTCAGCCCACTCTCTGTCTGAACATGAACCTAAGCCCAGGCATAAATCTCAGCGTTTGCGTAAACAAGGCGTGAGCATGATCCAAGCGGATGAGGTTAGACTGCATCCGAATGATTCAATTACGGTCTTGACACACCTTACTTTTTGAACGTTGTCAAAATGAGAAGCACTCCAAATGGTCCAATTCTTTTGCTGTCCCAGAATTTTGCAGTGTAGAAGAACAGAATCACTAGACATTAACATTAATGAAAAATTCTGCACTTAAAGTTGAATGGAGCGACGGTCAAGAGATATTGTATCATGGGAGGAATTTTCTGTGCTCGACGGGTTTAGAAAAATTTGCATACAATTTGTGCAGGGTGGCATTATTAGAAAGATAGGCAGTAACTCTTTTTCGCAAAGTTTCGAAAACATTTGGTTGCGTACATAGCCGGTCGTTTTGTACCCGAACAGAATTTACTGTGAACGCTGGTGTAGAGTGTAATTTCAACATAACTTTCCAATATCCATTGCTTTTTGTATGTGGTTGATCTCTCATTATTATTGTTCTCTGAAGCATGGGAGGTATCAGGCAACGAAACTTTTTCATCAGTGAACTTATTTTCCCTTCCGGATTTTCAGTTTTCATTTGCTCAGCACATACTTTCCTTCGATATTGCAGTATAGCGCAGATGAACGTGCTAGAATCGAACGCATCACAATAAACGGTGCACTGTATCAGTCACGTCATATTGTACTCGCTATTAGTTTCATTTCATTTAGCACTTCTTATTCTCACGCTTATCTATGTATCCACTCTCGTCTGTCATCACTTCAATACAACACATTCTCGTACCGATTCATTTCAGTCATATCTCTATCTTAGCTTTCTGCCATATTTTCGTTAATTCAACTGCGTCGTTCAGTTTCCGAATGCAAAATTCGCTTTCTAACTGTTTCATATCTAACACTGCTTCAGTCTCGCGTTTACTATTCAGCAGAATTTATGCATGCTTCTGACAGTAAGTTCTTTGTTCCATCGGCGCGCTTTAGCTGCTTTTTTAAGAATGGAAACTTTCTGTTTTTGTCAATTTTCATGTCCCACAATGATGTGTATTTGTTCGGCGAATTCAAAGAAAAGTGAAAAAAAAGAGTTTTTATCGGACTAAAGAATGTCATTTCGAAAGCTCGGTTGAAAGTTTGTGATATGTTCGCTTTGTTTTGCTTATGGGATCGATGTTATTTTGTCATGCTGGTCAGTGAGTAAATTGGAGTGAATTTGCAGTATTTTACTCGATTCGGATGGTCATATAAATGTAACGGATTTTGGTTTATCGAAAGAATCAATCGATAATGAACATAAAACATACAGTTTCTGTGGTACTGTGGAGTATATGGCACCTGAAGTGGTTAATAGGAGAGGGCATTCGACAGCAGCGGATTGGTGGAGTCTTGGCGTACTTATGGTGAGTTGCTTACGATGCGGTTTCCTTTATGCAGTTAACTTGTGATTTATTGTTTCCTAATTTATTTGGTTATTCTGTTTCAGTATGAAATGCTAACCGGCACCTTGCCTTTCCACGGGCAGAATCGAAAAGAAACGATGACCTTGATTCTTAAGTAAGTTTTGTTTTCACTGAATTTTTAAGATTGAACCAAAATCAAAAGATTTGTCGACATGTTCGAATCATAAATGATTGTTCTGCTTGATCATGTACGCAGTAATGAAATGTCAATTAAGAGCAAGATTATCAATGCCACAGTTTCTATCAATACGCGCACAGAGTCTTCTACGTGCGTTATTCAAGCGAAACCCAGCGAATCGGTTAGGTGCAGGTCCAGATGGCATGAATCAGATAAAGAATCACTCGTTCTTTGCAACTATCGATTGGAAGCGGCTACTGGCACGTCAGATTGATCCACCTTTCAAACCCACTCTCATTGCATCAGATGAAACGCATTACTTCGATCCTGAATTCACCAAGAAAACACCTCGTGGTTACTGTTTTTGCACTCTTGTCATATTCTAGTGTTTAATCTTCGTTTGCCCTGAACCAGTATATGAAGAAAGCGGTCTCATAAAATTTCAGACTCACCAGCTCTACCTCCCTCGGCGACAGCACACGAACTTTTTCGAGGATTTAGTTTCGTAGCACCTTCAGTTCTGGACGAGACCAGAGAGAAGGGTCGTGTTGCAATATCAAACGGTATTCATAAGCATATTCCTGAAGCGCGTCCCTCATCGATTCACGACGAATACGAATTGAAGGAAGACTTGGGTAGTGGCACATATTCAGTGTGCAGAAGATGTGTGCATAAAGTCACTCGAGTTGAATATGCCGTGAAGGTAGGTGATTGTATCGAAGAAGAAATACGTATACATTAAATAATGGTTACTTGCAGATAATCACAAAATATAAACGTGATCCATATGAAGAAGTAGATGTATTGTTACGTTATTCTCATCATCCGAATATTGTCAAATTATTCGCAGTTTACGAAGATGAAGTGAATGTTTACTTAGTTGAAGAGCTTTGTAAAGGAGGTGAATTATTGAGTAGGATTATTGCACAACGACATTTCTCTGAGAGGGAAGCTGCAGCGGTTATGTTGAAATTGGCGAACGCAGTCAGTTATTTACATTCGAATCAGGTTTGTGTTTGAAGCAGTAAAGCATCGTCAGAATAAGCTTGGAGCTGTTGACGTTTTAGCCGATTGCTTTGGCATCTGTAATTGTCAGTATTCAGGTGGTTCATCGGGATTTGAAGCCATCGAACGTGATGTACGCATCGAGTAAGGCTGATCCAGATTCAATTCGTATAATTGATTTTGGATTCGCGAAACAGTTACGTGCTGAGAATGGCCTTCTGATGACTCCCTGCTATACGGCGCAATTTGTTGCACCAGAAGTACTAAAGAAACAGGGCTACGATATGAGTTGTGATGTATGGTCACTTGGTGTTCTTCTTTATACGATGCTTAGCGGGTCAGTTTGGTTACAAAATGTTGATAGACATTGGTATTCGTTAGTGAGTTGGTGACGTTGCAGTGAGGCGCCATTTGCGACTGCGCTTAACGATACACCATCTCAAATTCTGGAACGCGTCGGTGAGGGTCGATTCTCTCTTTCTGGTCCTTCATGGACGAATGTCTCGGACTTGGCAAAAGATATCGTCAAACGGATGCTACATGTTGATCCATCCAAACGTTTACCCGCCAAACAGATACTTGTTCATCCTTGGATCGTGCAAAGGAACTCTCTTCCTGCCGCCAACCTTCATTATTTTACCGATCCTATCAAAATTAAGGTTTGGAATTACTTTTGCATCTTCTCTTCTTTGGTTGAGTTTTATTGTAATTGTGTTATTATGTTTCAAGGGTGCAATTGAGCAGACGTACAAAGCAATCGGATGTGCAGCAAATCCAGCACCATTATGTCCAGTGAATGCGAGTGCTTTAGCGAGACGTAGACGACAGCTCAGGCCGAAAAGTGCTGGGGGTGTTTAGTACCACTCTACTTCTGAACCAATTCATGGTTAAACGCTCACCTTCTATACATCGCTTTCTCTTCTTTGTCTTGCTAATAATATTGTTATTATCTATT